GGACCGTCATCAACAGGAGGTGCAGATATAAAACTGGAATGGCCCAATGGAAATTATTTTTCCCTGTCAAGTTTGTGGAATTAACCTTTTCACCACCAGTTCCCTCTATTCATCACAAATTCTCATTTATAGTCTCTGCACTTTCCTTTAGAAGATTGGGACAAAAATAGCCAAACATTTTTTTTTACTAAAAACTGAAAATCTACTCAAATTTTGTCTGTTGGCACCAAAATTAGGGTTCATTTCCAGAAATATTGAAGAAAACGAATATTGAAGAAAAAAGTGCGAACAAATTTTGGCAAGAAAATTTTGTGGTGAAAAGATTAAAATCCAGTGAAATTGCTCAAAATGTTAAAATAGTGAAAATTAATGGTTTTAGATAAAAATGTACATTAATGCATAATCTGTAAATTCAAGAACAGTATTTCTACCATAGTAGTTGATTTACATGTATATCATACATCTAATTTATTAATATTATTAGTTCGAAACTCGGTAACTGTGCAATCGTGAAATAAGTGAAAAAAAAATCAACCCATACTTTTTTTGATGTAGACACTGACATTTTGCTTTAGTGTACGTAATACTATGACTAATGCATCGCATCAATAGTGTTCCTGACTAACGTGAACGCAATTGCTGTAATTCCTCTGCAAACACAAAATATTTCAGCACATGCTTATATCCCATTAAGTGAACATAGCAAATAATACACTCTGTCAATATTTGATTGTAAATTGTTAATTTATCAGAGGAACATTTATATATCATGATGGAAGCCTAAGTTCAGAAACATGTCTCAGACAATTTTGCCTTTTAAATGTTGGTATAATATAATATACAGTTATTGAACTTGCCTGAGGGTGATATCAAGAATTATTGTCCCCAAGTGGCTGTTTTGGCTGAATAATTTTTAATATTGGCCAGAGCTAAGCACAACTATTTTATTATCCTGAAAAAGAGAACAGTGACTTGATTGAAACAGTTAGTGAAATAAAACTGAGAGCCAAAACGCAAACTTTCTTTTAAAATTAGCCCGCAGTCAGAGGCAAAAGTTATACTGTGGGAGGCTAATACGGTATAAATATTTATAAAATTATATGTGACTGCTTTCGATCAATAATATTGACTGTTTAATACCTGCTGGATAATAATATGAGGTTATTACGAGGATACCTCAAAGTATGCACGAAGACAGTACAGCGTAAGTATTGACCAATGCGCTGCGGAGGTCAATGCAACAGCGTACTGTCTGAGTGCATACTTTGAGGAATCCTCGTAATAACATTATTATACATCTTTTCCTTCTAAGGATACATCATGGGAATGCTGAAATCCAAAAAGTTTAGAACAGAATCAGCGAACTTTTTTGTGTGGAGTCCGGTCAAACCCTGGTGGCAGCCATGCATGTTTGTTTTTATTATTAGAGGACATTATGCGCGTAATCATTGCATATTTGGAATTTGCATTTCCTAATATGGTAGGATGAAAATATAAAAAATACCACAAAATTACGGCATGCTGTAACTTATGGCATTACGGTGATAGACGTATAATAATAATGTTTATTACATACTCATAGTGCTAAGAAACTATTCAAAATGTTTCTGGCATTAATTCTCCATGAGTACCGTAGCATTTAAAAAGGGCACCTCTTACTATATACAATATTTATCAGTCTGAGCAGCTTTTATTGTTATTAATTAAGTTGCTTAATATCCTATAGTACATCTCTCTTACTATGGTATATTACAATTCTATATTTATTTCTGTTTACAGATTACTGGTGGCTCCAGTGGTATTGGTAAAGCACTGGCAATAGAAGCTGTCAAGGAAGGAGCAAATGTTACGATAATTGCCAGAAATCAGGTACCAACATTTTCATTGCTTCTTGTATTTACTATCAAAATTTAACTGAATATTAGACAAATGTTCAGACTTCAGAGGCTGCCAACCAAACTCAAAATATTAATATTAATTCAGCATTGTAAATTTATTTTGCACAGCGAGAATTATAGGTTAATTTCTCATTAGATGCGATCGCGCACATCTCCTTAGCACAGGCTGAGAAGTCAAATACATATAAATATCAATCATATCATATAAATTTATCTTTATGGCATTCCAACAACGCACAAAAAACATGTGATTTTTTTTTAAATTCTTCTTACTAACTTGTTATATTTTATTTTTTGTATGGATTAATATTTCTATTGATATATACTGAAAGAAATGTGTATATCTAAAGATGCAATAAACAATTATTATTATTATTAAATCTTCCAAAATTGAAGGCAGTTACGTGAAAACCATGCAGCTTGTGAAGAGAAAATTATTTTAAAAAAGGCTTAAAGTCAGTAGTTAGCATGCCAAAAAATAAGATTCCTGAAAATGATGGGCTCACCATGGAATTCTACTTCTATTTTTTGGCAACTTATACTTTGTATTTATACTTACAGTAAATCTTTCGAACATTGCTGTTAACATTTACAAAAGAAGCATGCCAATATCCAACAACATTGATTATAAAAGCTAACAACAGATAATACATGTAAAACTGGAAGCCATTATTTTTATAAGTGAAGATTAGAAAATTGAATAAAAATGTATTGTAAAAAAGTTGGAATAAATTTCTCCCAACATGATAAATGAGACTCAAGATTACATGTTTTTATTTGTACTTGTACATGTTCACCAGATTATATCAGTACCACTTTATTCATATTTGTATTGAGCAATACATTGTACTGGGGTAGTATTTTTTCTGGTTCACGCATACCAATGGTAAAGTAACACAACCTTGACTCTTTCATGCCTTATTAGTATCAGCATGAGAGTTTACACACTCCTGTAAGTAAACACAGCTGGAGTTTATATACAAGTTGTGAATCTTTGATACTTGATATAAGCTGTCATACAAAGTATGTCCAATGTCCAGTTTGATAATACCAAAGTAATTCAATACTTGAACCTTCATCAGTGGACAACTGCTTTTTTTTTTATCTAAGAACATGCATATGAAATGGCAGAAAAAAGGCACATAAAACAGCGAGTTACTGCAAAAACAGTGCAAAATGTGATTTGCTTTGTCTCTGCTTGTACTTGGCCATAGTGGTAAATGCCCAATTAAAGGGGAACCGCTCAATCCCTTGGATTGCACCAAGTGCTCATGGGTAATTAACTCCGCCTCTGTCCACTGAGTAAATCAAATGAATGCTTATCTTTCCCCCTGTACTGCTAATCCCACAAAACAACAACTGATATAAACATCCTAAGAACGGATTACAATTTGCTTGTTTAAATATAACATAGCAATTGAATTTCAAACAAATACAGAGCAGTCTTCATGTGCCATGATTTGAAACATCGCGCGCTCGGTAATTCATACATCGTCGGAAAAATATGACGCAGAACTAATTCAAGTTGATGATAGCCAACAAGAAAAGGCGGCAGTCCACCGGATACACACGGCCAGAGTGTTGCTAAATGGTTGCGAAGAAAATACGCCGACTCAAGTTTATTTGCCTGTTTCTGTTGCGTCGGCCTATTGACAGTACTGATCTTGTATACAGTAAACCTGAGAATGAAACTTCCTATGCACATTCTGTATACATACTACTCCTCCAGACTGTTAATATAACAAGTGTGAAAACACGAAGTCAATGACATTGGTTTTCATATTTCCGTCACAAATCGGTAAACAGAACGTGTATTTACTATTGCCCTCAAATTTCCATATAATATTGACTAATTGGTAGAGACGACAATGAAAAAGTTTACTGTATATTATAAGTACAGGTTATTACACGGAAATTCCCGTGATAAAATATCAAAATCATTAGTAAAGAAAAGTTGCCGCGACATCACAGGCTTATCTTGTAACCTGTTTACGACACTCGTGTGGAAAATCAAAATGTACACGGTGGTACTGGCTTTTATCTT